AAAAGTATTCATTAATACAATACATATGATGTATAAACCACCGCTATGCACCAAACAAATGGTCAGCAGTACACTTCGAGATAACTGCAACTCTTAATCTCTAAAATGTACTCATTAGGAGCAATTATACCATGTCATTTAGTAACTGTCACTTTGGGCTAAAAATGTTCCACCTAAAAAGGAGGGAGAATCCAGGTCATGAAATCCGACAACAATAAATACCTAACGCAAAAATGCGCTGTAAAGGCATAAGATGACGACATGGACACATCGAGATAAATAGTTTCCATCATAAACTCTCGCAATACATAAATACGTGAATGTCGAGCTACGGTCGCGCTTCATCTAGAGCCCCCGTGCGTGACTCCTACGAAACTAAAGACCGGGAGCCCATAAAAGGATATTGAAAGCGATCTCTTCATCGAAATCCACAATTTTTTAGAAGAATTTTCATTCCATTTTCTCAATGAACTCGAACTTTCTCGATGAACTAACCCTTTCGCACGGGACGGGACGAGTGCAGCAGCTTTCCACACGCAGACCACATGTCCGCTACATGTAGTCGCTGCGCGGCCGTCCGCTTGGCTGGCACGCGACAACGGCGGCTGCGACCCCGGAAGTAAATATACACGGAACAGGCAAATAAATAAAGAAAAACGTTTTGGAATCGCCCAGGAAACAAAGATCGACACAAGCATCTTAAAAAAAGCCAGTGGCTACATAAATCTCCCTAGCAGCACTAATTCTTTTGGAAATGGCTCTCATCTGTCAAAAAGCCTTCTAGGGTCATCTCATCGATGTTAAAATTTTCTAATTTACTTTGAAATGAATCGCATAAATAGAATAGGAATATTTTGGCAACAAAGAGACCAAAGGTAACTAACACAGTCCCAAACTTAACTGTACATAAGTGAATTTACGCACACCTTATTGCTAAAATTAAAACGCCGTCGCTATTGAGATTGAACGATCACAAAAAAAACGATCACCTCATAAAAAGAACAGATTACAAAAAAATCACGAAGTTGAGCTACTACTAGTCGTTGAATCGTTGGATTGTTTTGCTTCCATTTGAAATGGATACTTATCGGTAAAACGAATGCACACTCGCGGAAACCATCCCTTCAGCTTTTCGTCGTCGACCTTGTATCCGTAGAGCCATCCGCGTTGACCACGCGTAACCACGTACTCCTCATTCACGGAGATCTTTAAAAACATTTCGATTGTGATTATTGAACGGAACACTCGCGAATATGAAAATAATCGCTCAGCAACTTCGTCTGCAATTCTAGCCTACGTCCCTGGCATGCCGATTTCTGTACCGGCTTCGGATACGTACTCTACAAAGATGATCTAATTGCATTTCGTGCACAATTACCACCGTAGAAGGCATGTATCAGAGGAATGTGTCATTAAGTGTGTACAGCGTTAAAATTAGAGGATTATCAGCTAATAAAAAAGCAATAAGCCATCAAGCATTATTCCAGATTATATATCCTTCTATTTTATAAAGCGCTAACTTTGTGTGTCGGTTTGTGTATCTGTATGTGTGTGTGTGTGTGTATGTATGTATGTGTGTCCGTCCGCAAAATGAAGTGAGTGAGAAGGAAGCTCATGGGATAAACAAACCGCTAACAAATCGGGTAGCTTACAGGATTTGAGATATCAATGTTTTGTAGCAGGATAGTTGTGATAACACTCTTAGGGCTATATAAACACCTGCTTAGCACACTTCCGTTCATTCCACATGGTGCTGCAGTGGCAGCTGGAGGGCAGTGGAGAGAGGAAGGGAGGATGAGGAAGGGAAGCGAAAAATCTACCGTCATATCATGATTGTGTCCCTTCTACTGTATGAAACACCATTGTGTTGCATACGCGTCACTTCCAGGAGGTGTTGGTGTCACAGGAGGAAGGGACCATAGCGGAGGATAGAAAGCTTGCGCAGGAAAGGAAGGTCCCGGCGGTTGACGGGGGACTAATCTGGTTATATATAACGGCAGTAGCGGAAATATTTATACGCAGTGAGCCATCTCGCAAATCAGCGTAACGGAATTGTGGAGACGGAAAGCAACCTCCGCAGGTCTACATGGCTTACTGGGAACTCGTGGAGCGCATTTTATTGGTAATACGCAACAGCGCGGGGCAATTTAATGTTCCATATGGCGACTGCTGCAACAACTTTCAAGGGCGAGCAGTAAATTCAGAGCTGAAACCGCAACCCAACGCCGCAGCCCCGCAATATAGGCTCTTCCTTGAGAAATGGGGATCCCATTCGAGGGGATTGAATGTGCACAAGCACAACAGCAATCGCGCTCCATTGATACTTTTGGTGACATGAATCGAAGGAGCTCCATCGCCTTTCGAACAAGGTGATAATCACAAAGGATTCGGTGTTGATCACTCATTTTTTGGTATGCGCCATACATTCTGTTCCGCCCTGCTCACACCCAGGTGGGAGAGGCAAGAGACGCCCAGTACCACGCGTGTGGCCCGGGGACCATTCCTGGATTATATGGCCGAGCAAACCTAAAGTCTTTTCATAAAACACTTGGAGCAATTAAATGGACTAGGGATGGTGTTCACTACTTCGTATAATGTATGCTATACGAAGTTATTACGGGCTACAAAGAAAACTTGGCATACTTCACGAGCATACCCACTGAAAATTACTCATACATACTTATATGTTGGTTTCTCTCTACAATGATTTAAAATACGCGCTGAGAAAAAAAATAATTTCACCTTTAGACGAGGTTCTTCGCTGATGGGCTGGCAAATAAACATTCGACAACCAAGGCACATCGAACCAAAGACGCCTCCTCGAAAACTCTTCTCCACGACCACAATTCGCGACAAGTACCTCTTCAGTGCCTCTTTTGTCGCAGTTGTTCGCGCTAAATGATACGCTACACTAACTCGCGCAATTACTGCAAACGATGATCAGAACCAGTTCTCAATCAAGAAACACACAACAAATTTAACGACCATTCAATGTGTGGTGTGTGCTTACTGCCCACTAGTGGAATGAAGAAAGAAAAAGAGGAAGGGGATGGGATTGGTCAATCAGATAGTGTATGTAGACTGAAGAGAGTTCCAGAATAAAAAAGCTCTTGAACTGGTATAAAAACAGATAACCCGATATAGTTTAAATCATCCACAATACTGAATGCAGGATAGTTTTACTGGCTGCTGCGAAAAATAACTTTAGAATTACCCGAACTCTCCCTGTACTACATAATCACTATATTTGTGTACCGTTCTGGACGCTTGTAGATTTGTAGGTCTGTCGGTCCTTTTGCGTGCCCGCAATATGACCCTTTATACTGTCTGAGTTTATAAAACAAACAAACCAGCCATCAAGAGAGGAAACAATTACGTGAGATATCAAAGAATGGTGGGATTGTTAAAACCTCGCCAGAAGCTGTATAAGACAACACAAACCCACTCATAATCATTCCTCAAAGTACACAGCGCGCGTGGTTCCTACCAGTCCTAATTCAACTTTTGCTCCTCTTCTACATGCTAACGCTTCAATCCACTTTAAGACATGCTGACTTCGTCAAAAACGAACACAGGCGATGGAGCATAGCGTAAGCAGGAAAGAAAAAATCCCGGCGGGAGCGTAGCGTGTTGGGGGGGGGAGGCTGGGGGAGGAATAATGCCAACGTCACTGAAGGGCTTTCTTCAAAGGCCGACATGCCGTGAACCATGTGAACTCAGCGACAGAGAAAAACTGGTCACATTCTTTTCGTACAGGCCACCAGACACCATTGCCTGTTGTTCTGAAAAATGTATGTCCAAGCTTCTACTAAAAGAACTTTGAAACACATTTCTATCAAGTACTTACTCTCCAGACCACGAAAAGAGAACTTCACTAAAATTACGCTTCCATCCAAGATCGTATGGGTAAATAAAGTCCTCCCAATCGCAATCTTCTTCCTTACGATAGGAGACAGCTTTTTGTTCTGAAACGCCACGACTTTTCATACTAACAGTCACTGAAATAATAAGGCTGAGGAAAATGGGATGTATTCAACACGAAGGCAAATCACGAATAATTAGAAACGGAACATAGATTACCTATATATTCCTCTATACCGGTCTTGTTGTTTTTAATATACTTGAGCTGAAGATAGAGAAGGCCACCAACGCCAACAACAACGCCAAATGCGAATGCACTGGCAATTACCATTGCAATTAAAGACCAAAAAGTTAAAAGTATCATAGGCTCACTACCATCACCGTATCGATAATAATAGTTCTAAAAATAATCTACCATTATGAACGTAAATGAATAAAATTACACAGTAACTACATGATGAATGAAAAAATGATGAAATATTGTCTTAAATAAATTGCACATAGAACTCACGAAATGAATAGCATGATAGAAAGCCGCAGTGAGGATCACCAACGCATGAATACATCCAATTACTGCAGATACGAGAAATCTAACAAAAAGCGCATGATTTCGATGACCGACGCAGTTGTTTATCCACGCTGAACTCAAGGACTTTCAAAGACTAGCAAATCTTCACAAAACGGTCCAATTCTTCAACACCGCCGCAATGAGACCTTTTGAGCTCAGGTCGTTTGTTACGAAATATGCATTGAATTTGAATGAAGATAAATCCTATTCGTAGTTCCTCTTTCTCACGCAAAATTTGATTACATTCTCGAGTCGGGTCGATTCGGTGTTATTCTGCTTGAAAATTGGACAAAAGGTGCAATGAGGTACGTGAATGGGAGAAAAAGCAAAAGAACCATAGAAAACTCTGAACTATGCTGTGGTCGACCGTGTATGACGGAGAAACACAGCGCTGCGAGGAGAGGGAGAACGCGAGATAGTACGTCGTACGCGAGAGCGCAAACGC